CTTCAAGAAGCAAAAGCTATTTGTGCATAAAACCTCATCAGTTTCTTGTTCAGCCTACGCAAAGAATGAATGAATAGAGAAATTACCCTCAAATCAGTGATTTTATAAGGATGGCAATTTTCTCCGCGACCCGCGGAGCTTCACGGAGATCCCCACCACGAGAATAGAGATTCTCAGAATATTCCTACCCGTGGGGCAGGGATGGAGGCAATTTTTTACTCGTGAAATTTCGCGGAGAATTTTCTCCACTCCGTGGGAAACCGTGGGGATCCATATAAAATAAAAAAAATATAAATTTATTTATATATATATTTTTTGTATATATATTTTTTGTACATATATTAACAATTAATTTTTACTTACCCAACCTAATTAGCTAACCAAATACCAACATAACTTAAATTTCACAATCCATTCTATTTTCAAATTTTCCAAACCCAATTCTCACTTCTTTAGCCCAACCCAATTTTTTTTGTAAATCTAATATTCCTATTTCCTAAACTTAATTGCCCAAATTCACAATTTACAGCCCAATTTACATATAACCCTAGCTGCCAACCTGCCTAGCAGAAAGACATTTTACTTTCAGCCCCTTTTTTGCTTGCTGCTTCGAATTAGGGATTTCCCATTCCCCTCTCGCGAGTCTCGCCTCTCGGTCAACTTTCCTCTGATCCTCTCCTCTAATCCTCTACCACAGTGCCACACTCTTCACTCACGGACAGACGGACTCACGGTGTAATTTGCAACCACTTTATCTTGAAATTTTGATGCCACCACTAATTGAAAAGTGGCAGCAGCTTTCAAATGCAGATAAAGATATTTTTCCGCTTCTTTAGTGCTTTACATCCATAGCACAGGTCTGTACCATTCTTTTATTCTAAATTTCTGAATCGGTAACTCTGAGGTCTTTTCTTTTATGGTTATGCAATATGAATGTACTTTGCAACCTCAGTCAACCTAAGTTAGTAGATCCTTCTATCCATTCATTAAGCAACTGAAACACAAAATCTGATGTATTTGAAGAGAGCTATGGTTTGCTCATTTTTTTTTTTTTTTTAAATCCTTCATCACCCAATGTATTACAGAAGCGCTGTTCATTTTTGTACTACTATCGTTGTGAATTTTTGGGCCCTGATTTGTGTTTAACTATGCTTGAGTTTTTTAACCTGTGTGCATCCTAGCAACATAGCTTTCTTAGGTCAATATTGTCTTCCCAAACATATAAATCCAATTTAACAATTTTGAGTTTTCTTCTGATGTCTGGTATTTTGAAATCTGTGGTATTTTCAGCCATCACTAGTTCACTACA